GGCTGGTTTACCATTTCGGGAAATCACTAGAATACTAGGCCCAACGCATTCTACGATATTAAGAACAAGTCGAGAATGGAACAACGAAGAGCTACAAATGCGTCTCAGGGGTACCGACCGTTTCAGAGTAACCCAAGCACGCGAAGATCATTTGCTAAGAAGAAGTGTTATTCAATACCCTTGGTAACCATAACGATCAGTCTGGGTGGACTGGATGACAGCAATTGGGCACAGAATCCGAGGAGTACCATCTACCACCAAATTCGTTCCTTTGGCTTGAGATCTTATGGTCCAAACTGTAAACTTCCCTCACCACAAGAACACAAAACTATCACTGCTTCACTGGTACTAAGACAGGCAGCAAGGGCTGCAATAGTGGAATGTCATAATGTTTAGAAACGAGTCTAGGTTTTGTTTGTGGCACTCTGATGGACGCATACGTGTTCGAAGGCCTCGAGGCCAAAAGTAAAATCTGGAATTTGTACAGAGACGTCATACCGCTCTAACACCTGGAGTAATGATATGGGGTGGTATACACATCTGTTGAAGTACCCTCTTAGTGTTTATTCCAGGCACGCTAAATGCCCAGCGTTACATCGATAACGTGTTAAATCAAATTCTTTTTCCTTACCTCTAGAACCGTCGAAGAACATCTTTTCAACAAGATAATGCGTGGCCTCATGTGGCCATATTAACTTAAAGAGTGTTTGAAGAAAATAACGTCAACTTCTTACCCTGGCCTGCCCGATTACCAGATTTATCAACAATCGAACATGTTTAGGATGTAATGCATAGAAGGCTGCGCAATTTACCACATCCTCCAAAGATTTTGGAAGAATTGCTACAACAAATTCAAAATGCCTGGAATGAGATACCCCGACAGGCAATAGATCATCTCATTTTAAGCATGCCTAGAAGAATACAGTCTCGTATTCGCGCACATGTAATTTTAACACATTATTAACATTTCTTCTGTTAGACATTTTATTTTTTCTTTGAAATTTTAATCAAATGTTTGTCTATATGCAATAGTCTTCTCCACCAAATTTCAACATTCTACGCCTACTCCTTCTAGGTGGTGCATTTTATTTGAAACGCAGTGTATTTTAATTTTATCTTTGTTCAGTACCTGTACATTTCTTACGATTGAAATTGAATTGCAGTGAAAATCTAGAAATCTTTAATAATTTAAAGAACAAAAGTATTAATTTTCTTCTTCTTCACCGTCATCTTCTGGACGTTTGGGAATTTCTGTTTCATCGTCATCATCCTCGGTGCCCTGAATCGTTGTTTCCAGACCTTCCAGTTATAATCACGATAGAAAAATAAGTATTTAAAACCTTACACATTTTAAAGATATATGTAAATAAATTGAGATATACAATAAATATTTCATTAAATGCGTTTTTAATTACACAAAGTAGGTAAGTATTATTCAGTGAATATGTTGAAAATATGTAAAATGTTTAAATACAATGTATTAATTGATAAATAATATAAATTTTTCAAAATTCAAGGTAGTATTAATAGATATTCACGGTTGATTGCATTACAGTAAGTATGGATGAGCGCTGCGCGCTCACTGCCCTCTATCTCAAAAATGATTGAGCGCATGAAAAAATATGTCAAATAAAATTTGTCCCAAATTTTGTGCTCTACAATTATGATAATAGATGTTAATATCACTGGAGCAATAGAAACCGAGATAATCGCAAAAAACTATTTTTCTTCATCTTTGACCTTGAATAACTTACGACGCAGACACGAGATTTTATGAGACTTTTGACACAACTTTTAAAACGCCAAAATTAAGGTGTATACAAAAATTCAGCTTATTATCTCTCATTCCGAGATTGATCCCTTTTTTATCCTAAAATGACTGGACTATAACTACGAACATTTTGAACGTACGTTTTTTAAAACTTTGGCTATTTTTGATACGTCAAACATCTTTAACTGCTTGCTCAATTTTCACTGATCTGTACCGTACCCTTGTTTTATATCAGGTAAATTATTAAGACCCACCACTGACCCGGAAATGACCGGCATTCAGGCAAGACTTCTATCATTACGGGTACTAAGACCAAGTAATGATATGCATTGATAAGATTAACAAAACAACTTTCGATATTCTAGAATTACAGCATACAAATTAGTCTGCTATTATTCTCTAATCTCACCCCATCCCCAAAAGTCTAGCGTAACTACCGATCATTTATCCGCGCATCACTTGGAAAGTGACCTACACTACTCTGACCTACTGGTGCTAATCTAATCTGACTGACATGATCAGACTGTTCGCGAAACTTACGAACAATATGACATGTTCCTAACAAAACAGCTTTTTGAATTTTGACAATTATTGAATCATTCAAATGCAAAGACTTTAAATTCTCAACTAAGCTATTTGGGACTACACCTACATTAGAGATAACTAGGGGTAGAATTGAAATTTTTTTAAGATTCAATATGGATTTCATTTCTATCGATAATTGTAGATATTTTGAAATCTTGGTGTGGTATGTTTGAATAATGTCAATGAGAATGGCTTCGTTCGTGTGTTTTTTGATAAGTATAATGTCTGGTCTGTTAGCTGTAATGTTTAAGTCTGTAAGTATTAATTAATCATATTATTATTAGTTACTACGTTCCACAGGTCGAAACCCAATTACTAAACATACGTAGGTACAATATTCCTTCAGTGTGAAATTTTAAAATTCTTGTACAACAATAAATCTTATTTCTTTGATACTAGAACTGAATAGATTGATAGTTCTTTGTGCAGAGTTACCTAATCTCAAGATGTTGTATACAGGTGAAAAACGTAGAAAATCCGTTCGAGGTGTTGACATAAAAAACAATTGTTGCATTCTTGTTGTAAGAAAACGGCTATTAACATAGAAATTAATTTGCATTAATAAGGCTGGGCAGTTGATTTGGAAATTCAAAAGTTTGTGAAGGAATATAATACTACTAAAAATATAAATATTGTTGTCAAATTATTACAAAAACAACACAACCATATTTTTACTTCCCGAGCGTAAGCAAAGGAAGTATTGTAATCGAGTCCGTCGGTCGACTCTCTACTTTTACGTTTTCTCGATCTTTCATGACCCCTAGAAGACGAAGAAATAGGTCTCCCATTTCCGTCTGTCTGTCCGTCTGTCCGTCTGTCCGTCTGTCCGTCTGTCCGTCTGTCCGTCCGTCTGTCCGTCTGTCCGTCTGTCCGTCCGTCTGTCCGTCTGTCCGTCTGTTGTCCCGGATTTTTATTAGACAGATAATCTCCGAAAGTACTCGACCGATTGTTGTGAAATTTTGTACTTATATTAAGAATATCATGTAGATGGTAAAACGCTAACCAAAATTTGTCTAATCATCCCCACCACTAATGCGATGACGTCACTTCAAAATTGTACATAGTAAATGGGTTTTCAATTGTATAAAATAACATAGTCCTACACATGTAGTTTACAACTCTGAATCGACTTTTCACCCGAAACGTCCAGATTTTTGGAAAAAAAATCAAAATTATAAAACAATATTTTGAAATTTAATTTTTAATCTGCTAACCAGAATGCTTTGAAATGTTGCAGATGTTTTAAGGCTATAAAGAGCATCATAAATCTTTAGTCAAAAAATATTTACTTATCCCCTCCAAAAACTTGATGACGTCAGCTCAAAAGTTTGTGGAATAAATCATATCTAAAATGTACAAAATATGATGAGTCCGTACTTGTGATCTATCACTCCATTCATATTTTTTGGATTTGCATATACAGGGTGACTCAAAAAAATTAATGAATGCGTAAATATATTTTATTGATTTAATCAGGAACTACAAAACCGAATGCTCTGAAATCTTGCAGATGTTTTAAGGTCATAAAGAGCATAATAAATGTTTAGTCAAAATATATTTACTTATCCCCTCCAAAAACTTGATGACGTCAGCTTAAAAGTTCGTGGAATAAATCATATCTAAAATGTACAAAATATGATGAGTCTGTACTTGTGATCTATCACTCCATTCATATTTTTTGGATTTGCATATACAGGGTGACTCAAAAAAATTAATGAATGCGTAAATATATTTTATTGATTTAATCAGGAACTACAAAACCGAATGCTCTGAAATCTTGCAGATGTTTTAAGGCTATAAAGAGCATCATAAATGTTTACTCAAAAAATATTTGCTTATCCCCTCCAAAAACTTGATGACGTCAGCTCAAAAGTTTGTGGAATAAATCATATCTAAAATGTACAAAATATGATGAGTCCGTACTTGTGATCTATCACTCCATTCATATTTTTTGGATTTCTATATACAGGGTGACTCCAAAAAATTAATGAATGCGTGAATATATTTTATTGAGTTAATCAAGAACTACAAAACCGAATGCTTTGAAATCTTGCAGATATTTTAAGGTTATAAAGAGCATCATAAATCTTTAGTCAGAATATAGTTGGTTATCCCCTCCAAAAACTTGTTGACGTCAGCTCAAAAGTTTGCCGAATAAATCCTATCTAGAATATACAAAATATGATGAGTCTGTACTTGTAATTTATCATTCCATTCATATTTTTTGAATTTGCATATACCGGGTAACTCAAAAAAAAATATATGAAATCTACTGCGAAAAAAAACACAATAGGCATGCAGTCGTCACGTTTCCAACAGCGAGGGAAGTACTGGCTAAACTCTTTAGACCAATTTTTATACACTCCAAATGCAATATTAACTAAAAGTTTTATATTATTGTGATAATGAATATGTTACCTAGTTCTTAAACGTAGCAAAAGAGTTCATTATCACTCCACCAAAATGTGAGAAGGAATTTTTTTACTTTTTATTTCGGACTCACTAGTTGATTGTTAACTGCGTAGCATAGAGTTAATCCGCCATTTTCCAAACACCCGGTATAATTACCGTGAATTGAGTCATTCACAGCTTACGATATTACTTAAATTTAAAGATAAAGACAGAGTAATCAAAGTATACATACCTAGTCTCATGAAAGGCATACTAAAATCCACAACGCTTTCTCGAGATGGTGTGATCGTCAAGTCACTGATACCAAACTGAGCATTCTAAAAAAGAAAAAATTGTTTTTTAAACTTCAACAACGTTCTTATAACCTCATTTATTATGTCTCCAATAATTCCATCCCATGTTTGCGCGAGTTCATTATATAAACCATTAGATCCACCCTGAACTACTTTAATGTTAAATTTGAAGTTAAGTTTTTCAGCAATTTTGGTCATTAAATCTAGCACATAGCCTTCAAATTTGTCATTTCCCATTTGATTTTCATGATCCTTTTTCAACATTAAATAAGGTGACTCTAGCCTACAAGACTATCGCAGTTATTATACACATGTTGTTTATGGTACTTTTTCAAACCTCGAAGAAATATTTTGAACCCTAGTTTGCAATGTTTCAACACGCTTTTTGTAGCTCTCCTCGGCTGTACGAAAAAAATTCACAATATCTGGTCTGATTGAATCCCATGTGGCTATAACTTTTTCCCTATTTCCTTCAACTAAGTAAAGAGTAAAATCTACCCTCCTTCCGTTTTGATCAAATGGCAGGCGAGAAGAAGATTTGGTGTAGTGCTACAACTGGATTTTTTTAAGAGCCACAATACTTGCAGTCATCATACGTTTTTTATGTAAGATATTATGTCAGATCCATATTTAAATTTTTCCTGGCCCTTACACGAAATATTTTTAGATGTTATGTTCCTATCGTGATACATGTAGTTGACAGCTTGCATCAATAAATTGATTGATTCATGTATTAATACTGTCTCAGTCTATAACTGTACTACATGTAAAGTCATGTACTATTTTATAAGTAACAGTTACCTTTAACATGTATGAATTGGACGTAAGCATATTGTTTAAAACTTCCTTCACATAGTCTCCGTTGGGATCGATTACCCTGACAGTTGTAATGTTGGCCTCAGTATTGAGTTTTTCAAGATTCAACGTATGAGCGTCCTAGAAAATATTATATGTTATAAATTAAACATTAAAATTTTAAAATTTGCCAAAAACATGTTAAACTTTTCTTAAAAGTTTAAATGCTCATGAAAATGCAGGCAAAGTTATGTGAGGTGTACAGAATGCGTACATACTGAAAACAATGAGACACTTCTTGTGTACCAAGCTCCCTTTTGATCTTAAAGATAATAAAGTTTATTTCAATAGACCGCGAAAACCTCAGATGAACTGAAAGATTGGTGTAAGATTATCTCGACAGAACTTCCCTCCTAAATAAAGAACAGTGAAGCAAATGCGGCTTCTTCGAAAAATTATAAAATTTACTTTTGTAAATTTTATTTTTCTATGATAAACCCTATACATTAAAATAAACGTACGTAATATTCACTTTTGTGAATTTTAGAAATAACGTCATCCCGTTGTTGGTGGGGGTGATTAGACAATTTTTGGTTAGCGCTTTACCACCAATACAATGTCCAATTATATATAAGAATATATGTTAGAAATTTTGCATACAAAATTTGACGACAATCGCTGTAGTAGTTTCGGAGATTATTTTCTAATAAAATCTTGAAGTTAAAAAAAATAAAACTTCTTAGAAGTTAAATGTGAGATTGTCAAATACTAATAAAAACTACGGTTTCTGGCAAATTTTCTAAAACGAAAATATTTTGTAAAATTTATGAAAACATTTTTGCGTGTTGTTTTTCTACAAATTCTCCCTCTCTAGATGATAAATAATAATTCTAAACGCGTAAAATTTAAAATTCGCTTACCAATGAAGAAAGAAAGTAAGTGTGTGCAAATGTCATCAAACCCACTTCTTTTGCTTGTTCCAGAACTTGCAGCGTATTTTCAGTTTCACAGTCTACTATGATTTGTTTTTCTCCAGAGTGTTTAATTTCTTTTAATACCGACCTGACGTCCTCTTGAAAATTCAACTTTTTGATAATTATAGTATTCCTCGCTTGGATATCACTATATTTTTGAAGCTTAAATACTTCTTGCAATCTTAGAAATCCTTGAAAATTTTCATATAGCACTATAAAGCTTGGCCACTGCAAACTTTCCACAATTTTTGCTAAGCCTAGCGAAAGTAAATTAAAATCAGGATGTAAGTTTAGTGACGTTTCCCGTCCTAAATAAGAATTGTATTGACGCCAGTTTGTCTGAATGTAAGGAATATTTAGTTTACAGGTAATAGACTGGATCATAGGAGAAGCTGCTTCTGATTCAGATGCTATTATTGCTACAAATTTGGAGTGAGCTTCGAACACACCACACAATACATAGAAACCAAATTATTTTTAACTGGTTATTTTATATTTAAAAAAGTACTTACGAACTTGATTGCTTTGAAATGAATCCTCTACAGTCATACTTTCCACGACAAAGTTCACAGTTTCTTTTTTGTTGTAAGCAGCTTTCATCATAATACTATTTAACAACATCGGTTTAATTTCATTCTTTATGTTATCTTTTATGTAAAAGCCTGCAAAGGTCTAATAAAAGTTTTTTTCCTTTGCTTAAAATGATCTCACCTATATTAAGCGTTCCCTTAGTCAAAAAAACATTATTTAGCAATACAAAGTAATAAATAAACTTTTCCATTTAAATCTGTGGTATTCTCCGAAACTGTGTAAAATGCTGAGACACTCAAACCAACGACATTTTCACCAGAACTAAAAATATTGGAATGAACGACTCGCATTAATAAATCTATAGATTTATTTTTAGGTGAAAGGACATTGAAACAGTAGGCCAAGAAAATATTCTTTAAACGAGCACAAGTTTTAATCTATAAAACATTATTGCAAAGATAATGTAAAATTTATTTTTCGTACAATATAAATATCCTTATAATATACAACGTACTTAATTTTAATTAGACTGAAATAAATCCACAATTTCGTCCTCATATTTTTGGAATTTTTCAAATTTATAAATTGGTCTCGAGCCAACAGTAGTTTATGGTGGGTTGGAAATTTGGAATGAGAAATTATTTTCAAAATATCATGTTTCCAAGACATGTGTTTTTAAAATTGTTTATGTATCGGATTCTTCGAAGTGGAGGTTAAAAATTTAATCTGAAAGGTAAAAAACTTAATATTTAACTCCACATTTGTGCAGACCGTCGTGCATTGGAATTAGCATCTTCGCGGCGCAGAGGCTGAGAGGGTGTCATTTACCCCACTGGAGCGAGGGAACTTCTGCCGAAATAAACTTCGACTAATTTTTGATTAAGAATTTAAACTGTACTATTTTTCGCTTACTTAAAAATAGTTAACAAGAAATGGAAGTTTGTGCAATTTAATTCTGTCATGACTAATCTAAATCTAAAAAATATGAATGCAATGATTAAAAGTCTGTTCATATTTTGCACATTTGCGAAAGAATATATTCGGCAAAATTTTGAGATGCCGTAATCAATTTTTTGGGGTGGATAAACAGATACATTTTCATTAAACAGTTGCCATGCTTACAATAACTTCAAAACGTCAAGATTTCACAATATTCAGTTTTGCAATTCTTGATTTAATCAATAAAATAAATTGACTCAGTCATTAATTTTTTTTCGCACACCCCGTATAAGCAAATAAAAAAAATATTTATGCAGTGATAAATCACAATTATAGTCTCACCATACTTTGCACAATGCACATTTAAGATAGCATTTTTGCGGAAAAATTTTGGGGTGGCGTGATCAATTTTATAGGTGGGGATAAGAAATTATATTTTGATAAAAAATTTACCATGCTTATGATAGCTTTAAAATATCTCCAAGATTTCAAAGCACTCGACTTTGCAATTCCTGATTAAATGAATAAAATAAATTCACGCATTCATTAATTCCATCCTGTATAAGCCAATCCAAAAAATATGAATGATCAAAATATATTTGCTCAACGCTCCTAAAAAATTGATGACGTCACCTCAAAATGTTGCTGAATAATTCCTATCTTAAATGTGCAAAATATGATGAGTCTATACTTGTGATTTATAACTGCATTAATATTTTTAGATACGCTTATACAGGGTGTCTCACAAAAATTAATGACTGAGTTAATTTATTTTAATAATTAAATCAATAATTGCAAAACTGAATACTCTAAAATCTTGCAGACGTTTTGAAGTTATTGTAGGCATGGTATTACTCACAGCTTCAGAAAAATTGGTATCTGAATAATCAAGAAATTAAAAAATTCTGTTGAGTGCTCACGATATTCCAATAACTCATTTTGACAGTTTTCTTAAAAGTCGTTATCGGCACACTATTTTATACACAAAATTTCCTTATTTAATAAGCCGAGAAGGATTTAAATTCTTATAAAGACATCCAGATGGCAGATTAATAACTATTTCAGTGCAGATTCAGATTGATACCTTTAGTGTTTAGTAATTTAAAATTTAGTAGTACTTAGTAATCGATACAAATTAAAAATTTCTGTTTTATATTTTAATATCTTGAAATGTTATTCATGTTTTTTCTAGTTTAGATAAATACATATGTGTAGAATGAACAATTAATTTTAATTATAACAGTCGCAGTTAGCTTTGCAGTACCCATATAAACACAATTGCGTGCATAGTTATATGTTAAATTTAATGAGATTTTAGCGAGGCTGTATTAAAATTCAGAATGCTGAACGATTTTACTCGAACACGTACCGAATAGAAATGGTTTAATTAATGCTTTTTACATGCTTTCGTTGAACCTTTATCTGGTATAAACTACGATTTTTATATTAACATTGATTTTTTTAAAGCGAGCGGACAAGATTTAGTGCTACTTGACAGGAAAGCAATGTTTATCGCATCATGCAAACTTAATCGTGAAAACTGTGCTTTTTTTCAATATTCAATTTTGAATTCTCTAGAAACATTTAATTACATCATAAAATTAGATGCAAAATTGTAATTTACATTCTTACTAAAATAAATTATTACCCTGTAATGTTACAGGGATGTTATTGCGAAGAAAGTTGGATTTCCCTTCCAGTTGTCAGAAGGTAAGCATATTGTAGTGTAGCATGCCATTTTGCACGCTACATTTTTTATGTGCATTGCCTGGTGTAGGAGGGTTAGGACCCTACAAAAAGTCCGCGGGATTAAATAACATCTGATTGTCATTAACACCTGATCGCAACCTAAAAAAATTGGTCTAAAGAGTTTAGCCAGTACTTCCCTCGCTGTTGGAAACGTGACGACTGCATGCCTATTGTGTTTTTTTTCGCAGTAGATTTCATATATTTTTTTTTGAGTTACCCGGTATATGCAAATTCAAAAAATATGAATGGAATGATAAATTACAAGTACAGACTCATCATATTTTGTATATTCTAGATAGGATTTATTCGGCAAACTTTTGAGCTGACGTCAACAAGTTTTTGGAGGGGATAACCAACTATATTCTGACTAAAGATTTATGATGCTCTTTATAACCTTAAAATATCTGCAAGATTTCAAAGCATTCGGTTTTGTAGTTCTTGATTAACTCAATAAAATATATTCACGCATTCATTAATTTTTTGGAGTCACCCTGTATATAGAAATCCAAAAAATATGAATGGAGTGATAGATCACAAGTACGGACTCATCATATTTTGTACATTTTAGATATGATTTATTCCACAAACTTTTGAGCTGACGTCATCAAGTTTTTGGAGGGGATAAGCAAATATTTTTTGAGTAAACATTTATGATGCTCTTTATAGCCTTAAAACATCTGCAAGATTTCAGAGCATTCGGTTTTGTAGTTCCTGATTAAATCAATAAAATATATTTACGCATTCATTAATTTTTTTGAGTCACCCTGTATATGCAAATCCAAAAAATATGAATGGAGTGATAGATCACAAGTACAGACTCATCATATTTTGTACATTTTAGATATGATTTATTCCACGAACTTTTAAGCTGACGTCATCAAGTTTTTGGAGGGGATAAGTAAATATATTTTGACTAAACATTTATTATGCTCTTTATGACCTTAAAACATCTGCAAGATTTCAGAGCATTCGGTTTTGTAGTTCCTGATTAAATCAATGAAATATATTTACGCATTCATTAATTTTTTTGAGTCACCCTGTATATGCAAATCCAAAAAATATGAATGGAGTGATAGATCACAAGTACGGACTCATCATATTTTGTACATTTTAGATATGATTTATTCCACAAACTTTTGAGCTGACGTCATCAAGTTTTTGGAGGGGATAAGCAAATATTTTTTGAGTAAACATTTATGATGCTCTTTATAGCCTTAAAACATCTGCAAGATTTCAGAGCATTCGGTTTTGTAGTTCCTGATTAAATCAATAAAATATATTTACGCATTCATTAATTTTTTTGAGTCACCCTGTATATGCAAATCCAAAAAATATGAATGGAGTGATAGATCACAAGTACAGACTCATCATATTTTGTACATTTTAGATATGATTTATTCCACGAACTTTTAAGCTGACGTCATCAAGTTTTTGGAGGGGATAAGTAAATATTTTTTGACTAAAGATTTATGATGCTCTTTATAGCCTTAAAACATCTGCAACATTTCAAAGCATTCTGGTTAGCAGATTAAAAATTAAATTTCAAAATATTGTTTTATAATTTTGATTTTTTTTCCAAAAATCTGGACGTTTCGGGTGAAAAGTCGATTCAGAGTTGTAAACTACATGTGTAGGACTATGTTATTTTATACAATTGAAAACCCATTTACTATGTACAATTTTGAAGTGACGTCATCGCATTAGTGGTGGGGATGATTAGACAAATTTTGGTTAGCGTTTTACCATCTACATGATATTCTTAATATAAGTACAAAATTTCACAACAATCGGTCGAGTACTTTCGGAGATTATCTGTCTAATAAAAATCCGGGACAACAGACGGACAGACGGACAGACGGACGGACAGACGGACAGACGGACAGACGGACGGACAGACGGACAGACGGACAGACGGACAGACGGACAGACGGACAGACAGACGGAAATGGGAGACCTATTTCTTCGTCTTCTAGGGGTCATGAAAGATCGAGAAAACGTAAAAGTAGAGAGTCGACCGACGGACTCGATTACAATACTTCCTTTGCTTACGCTCGGGAAGTAAAAATTGGTCTAAAGAGTTCGGACTACTTCCCTCGCTGTCGGAAACATGACGACTGCATGCCTATTTTTTTTTTTCTCATTATATTTTTGTAGCGGGGCAATTTAAAAAAAAATGCGATGACATCATCAAGATTTTTGTAAGAACACCAATATCACTTTGGATAGATGTAGTGTATTACTAAAAATAAAAGGACTGTATTCCCAACTTTTCGGGAAAATGAATTGGGTCGTCTTGAATATTGATTAATAATCAATAAAATAACGAAACAGTTTACTCACATATGCCGCGTGTATTAGGAGAGGCAACTCAAAATCGTTATGTATAAGCATTCTTAATTTAAGACAACATACGGTAACATTTGTTGAGATCTTACACGTGAGAGTCAAACAAAAAATTTGCAAGCAATGCCGATGGTCACCCAGACTTTTTTATTGCTTCGACTTCCGCTTATTATATGTATATTGGATTTTGTTTTAATTTTTGATGGTGTAATTCACAATTGGTTGATTATAACTTGTCTAATTTTTTTATGTATATTGGGTACGTCTGAGAATA